CACATTGGTGTATTGTTTGAAGCGGCGATCTATGTCTCATCACCCTAAGCAATCAACACCACACACAAATAAATCCTAATGTGAGTATATTCTCAACATAGCCAAAATTACTCTTGACAAGATCTAGTGTTAAAAATCTTTCATTAATTCATATCAAGGAGACAATAAATATCATAATCAATTTAACTAGTCTACGGAAAGTTTTAGAAGTAAACCTAACACATGCCACATTTGGAACTAGAATTAATTGGAACTAAACCGTAATCAAAACATGATAAAATGAAAATATATAGAGTTAACTAATATTATCAGTGTACTCTACTTGTGTTCCTTGTACAAAACGTGCATAATATCACACTGTATTCTAAAACTCTTTAAAAAAAAAAAATTGGTTTGCGCATCACTTGTCTTTAATTTATGTCAATCTTGATTAGCTATAGTGTTTCACTGTATTGTCAATTATTTGATTTGCAACAAGATGTAAAGCACATACAGATGTATATCATATTGAAGATTGAGTATCTATCTTTTCAATTCTATATCTTTATAAGCCTATTCTACCAAATATTTTTCTTTGTTGATCTTGTTGTTGTTACATACTTAAATGGTAAATAGTAAATGTATCAAGCCCGTTGGTAGAATTGTAAATTGAGCTATGCACGGAATTATAACTCTTGCATTCATCACCAAGTGTAAGCACATACAATGATGTAGACTCCTAATATTGTATAAAGTTAGATCTAATTCATAATTAACATAGCCTAACAAAGATTTGGCTTTGTTTAATAAATCATCAAAAAATAAATCATAATTTTTAGTTTATTTTATACCTTAATCTCTCACAAAACAAACTCTAAATAATAAAAAATAAAAAATAAGTCAACCAAAAGTTTTAGCTCCCAATTTTTATTTTTGTATTTTCAGAATTTAAAACTATATATATATATCTATATATATCATTAACGTATATCTTGATAAAATTTAAACTTTCTTAAATCTGAATGTACACTTGTACAAAGTTTTGAATTTTTATAATAAATACAAAGAAAATTAAATTAACTTTTAATAAATTTTCTTCTCAGCTTATTTTTAGTACTTGTCAAAACTCCTTTAAGTTATAACATTCATAAATTTTTTTGTAAATAAGATTTAATTGATAAGATATAATCTAATTTGAGATTAGATTATAACATATCTCACTTTTCAATCTATAATAAATAGTATCTTAAAAATATTTTCAAAACCACTATCATTTCAAAAACATGTGTTGGAGTGAAAAAAATATACAAAAAAATTCTAAGATGTGATACAAGATCACTAGATATACAAAGATTTATTACTCTCAAACATGCACTCCTCTCTATCGTTTTCCAATGAAAACATAATGTGGTTTCTCATTGTCATTTTCTCTCAAGCAAAAAAATGAATTTAAAATATTTTGACTTCAAAATTGAGAGTCCAGTAATAAAAAATATGATATCAGGACTGATTCTTACTCAGGTTTGTCTAAGATTACTTTTCAGTAACCCATCATGATTCTAAAAGACTTGTCCCAAACATACTCTCATACAATTTCTCCTCTTATAATTATAAACAATCACTCATATCCACTCTAAAATAATAATCAACTCAACCTTCTATTGATAAACAAGTTTTCACATATTGAAATCAAAAGACTTGTTTGAGAGTCTCATTTGTACCTCTCTATCCATACTTATTTTAAAAAATTACCATAATAACACATATAATTATCATTTAACTAACTTTTACTAACATAAATGATGATAGATTTGACATTATTTCATAAAGTAAAGATTTGACAGTTGAATTTAGTTTTAACTAGCTAAAATTAGTCATGATTAATCTTGTTGTTGTTTTTTGGCTAATTTAATATTAATTCACACATATCTTTATTGGTTTTACAATACGAGTAATGAAGAATTCTCTTTTATTTCAAGTAATTAGTCTCATTGAAAAAGAACATCCTTATGTCAATAAGGATGTTTTTTTCTAGTATCCTATAAAATCATTGTCAAATGACTTTATATGCTAGAGCTTAAAACGCTTCACATCACTAACACGAAAACTTTTACTGGATGTAATATTCTATTCTACTTAGATATGAAAAGATAAACCGTACAACCAAACATTGGCAAACAATTATAATCAGTTATGTGTTTAGAATTCAGTTTAGACGATGTCAAGAAATTGATTGCACTTGGAGTAGAAAGTTTTTTCTTACTCATCATAATGTATATATTCAAATAACTACTTGAAACTATGAGTTTCAACTTCAAAAGCTCGTCTATGATGCATGCTCATAACACAATATCTGCAAAACTCTAAGTCAAGTATACATATGTCATGTAACAATTTCCTATCATCTATGAGCTACAAGTACTAATTACGCATGTGTTTAAGCCTAGAGTCTGAATTGAGACGTATTAGCTCAGAATTTAGTAAAATTGACTTTATCAAATGTGGTAGTTTTTCCTAGCAGGTATTGATTATTATGCTTATGACCTCTAAACACAATGTTATCATATAATCTCACCTCAAACACTTCATTCTTAGAGCTACACTCAAAATCTTTTAAGTCTAACATTCCAAGACTGGTCAATTTTTTTTTCATATGGGATGTAAATTTGCCTTGAGTCAATATATGTGGGAATCCATCAAACATTTGTATGTTAATTAGATTCAATATCCTCAATCTTACAAGGTTAATTATTTTCTATAAGAATCGTAATCTTTCATATTAAAAAAAAATAGTTAGAAACTCTCAAATGTAACAAATGTGATAAAAACAAGCATTATCTAGATTCCATACATTACCAACATACTTTGATAAATTGCAAAGTACATACCTATGAAATTATATCACATCGTCCAACAAATCATACTTCTCAAGTCAAACTCTTGAGCCACATCGACTAACAAAAAATTAACAACTTTGGTTTTACATGACATTTTTTCTTGACATGATCACTCTTGTCACATTTCCAAGACACCACGTCTTTCTTTCCAAAAATTTATTACTAAACTTGGAACTATTCTTAGATTCAAAATGCTTGTCATCTTTGTCATTCCGTGAATATGACCAAATTATAGTCATATTCAATGTCATATCGAAAGAATAGGATGAAGCAGAAAACATCATTTTTTGCTATAAATCATGAGACAACAATCAATGATGTGAACAGATCAATAGTTTTTTTTTTCTTATTAGTTGTTTTCTTTCCAAGTATTGAAGATCAATATAACATCATCAAACACATCAATATGATCTTGTATCTTTCTAACAAAATCTTTCTCGAAGTTGATAAACTTCAAGTAGACATACAATCTTTTATGCAAAATTTGTCGCTTAAGAAACTCAAATAATAAAGTATATACTTCATATTCATCTACTTGCTTAAATATCAAAGCTTGCGAATGAAGTATGATAGTATTCACAATCTAGTCTTGGATGTTGTTTTAGTTGTCGTCGTTGTATATCAATGGTTTTTGCCTCAACCTGTTGCATAGTTCTATGACTATACATTTGTCCTTCACTTTCTCTCCCAGAGCATATAGTCATCACGTTATTTGTATTTGATTATGTCATAATTTGCTTTCTTAGTCTTAGTGACTGACATCTTGTTTCTTCGAACATTCCAAGTGAAAATTATTGTTTTTCACTCAGTTACTTCTTTTTATACTTTTGTACATTTTGTCAAGAATACTAGATTTAATCAATGAAAAATTACTCCAAATGCAGTCCACACTTATCATAGATCGTGAGGATACATTGGTCCTTTTTAAATGTTGTGCTCGGATCAATAACTTGCACTTTGGTTACCTTATCAAGTCAATCAATCATCCTTTTGCTATCGCATGTGTGTTAATGTTCTAGGTAAAAATACTTATATCCTTCAAAAGCTTCTCTTTCTTTTAACAAGCTGTAAGCACTCATGATCCAACAACTTGAGAGAACGGATCTTCATTCAGTCAACATATTCACCATGTTTAGGAATTCCTCTTTCTCTTTGGCTAGCAATACTCCTTCCTATGTGAGTGATCTAGACGCATCAATCCTGACCACAAATTTATCCTTGTCCCTCAACAGTTGTGCACGGTATTGATCTAAACACTTCAATGCTTAGATCTCTACATGGAATATTTTGATCGTGGATTGCAATCCTTTCTTCTCCAGAATCTCCTGCTCTTGTTTCGACTGTTCCAGCACATTGAGATTCTAAATGAGCTAATTGACTATAGATACAAATTCCTTGTATTCCTCCGGCAGTTGTCCTATTTGCGATATCCCACTGGACCTCTTTAAGGGTGAACCCAATTTCGAGATAAATTAATTCCTTTTGTTGGTCAGCACTAGTACTTTCACTCAAGTTTAACTCAAACAGTTATTTCTTTTTCCCAAACAAGTTGTTGGCAACAAACAAATGTAACAGAAAAATTCAAAGACCATTGTCCTTCATCACTATCTTCGAACATTGTTAATTGGCGATATAATCTTGGTAACAATTCGTGTGTTCCCACCTTAACATGACAATGCGTAGATTAAGTTCAAAAAGAGCACCAATGTCACGTCGTTCATAAATTTTCAGTGGACAGTCGTTGCAAAAACATTATTATAAACTGGTGTCAGACATAGTTACATCATAAGTTCTGTATTCCTGTTTCGCAAAATTTATCACTATGGTGTAACGTGTCATAGTACGAGAAAAATTTTGATTTTTTCTTTAAATGTCTCCAAAATACTCTCCACAACGAATTGTGAGACTAATAACTCCTTTCATATATTCAAAGATAGGAGTTTGCTGGTCTACTAAACTTCTTCTAAACTAAACATTACTTTAGTAGACCATCATAAACATGCAAAGTGTTCATGAGATCACGTTTACAAAACACGTTGGGCGTTCAATGTCATAATTTGTATATGTTGATCAAACGACAAGGAAAGAATTTTCGGCATTACATGATGATGAAAATGGAGGTATGAATAAAGCATAATAACATATAACTATCCCAGAACATGTAAAAGTGTGAATCTTGTGATACTTGGTCCTTAACATCAAATGTGTGATCATCATGATCATCCATGAATTAGCAAATATATGATGTTATGGCGAGCTAGGTCCTCTCCTCAATGAACAGACAATCTGAATATAAATTTTCTAAAAATCTGAGTTTCCTCACACCAACTTTGTCACATCCAATGATTGAACACTCTTAACAATCTACTCTCATCTAGTTTCGCATAAAAGAATATATAAGTATTGAGTCTATATTACTGCAACACATTATTTCAACATGTAATAATGTCTCCAAATAGCAAATCTATTTATGGACTTTGTCATAGGTTTATACGATGTTTTGACACAAATGCAGTCTCTGAAAAATTGCCCAACAAAAGTAGTAAATCCCTTCCTCGTCTTCTGTAGGTCTTGACGGAATCAAACGAGAAGGCTGGGAATGTTGATTGATCATCAGTGCTCTTGACCGGAAAATCGAAATGAGTGGTGTGTTCATGACATATATCATGGATACAGAATTTGAAGAGAGAACAAGTGAAATACACGTGCCAGTTCACACCTGTCTACACTGGACACAAGTTGTCTTCAAACCGACGCAACAGTGAGCCAATAATAAGAAGTTAGGTATACAGTAGGAATGAACGAATTCTACCCGGTTCACGCCAAAAGGCAGGCGCCAGCGTTGTGAACGAAAATGTCCGTCACTGAAGACAAGACTGGCCGAAGAAGCACTTCCGTACCGGGCTAGTTTAATCAAACTCCATTTTCACATCCATGACATCCAACTGCAAGATGTCTGCGGCGCAATCGAGCAATGATCCAACACTGCACAACACCAAGCACAAGGTAGAAACCGAAAAAGTACTGTTACGTCCAATTCAACTGTTAGGGTTTAACATGTTAACTAAGAACTCGAAGATTAAAAATGCCAGTTCCGACTTCCGGATTTACTTTCTGTAGCAATAAGCCTTACTTTGGATAGGTTCGTCCCAAGTCACCATGTACGAACTCCTTAATGTAGGTTCCAGCCTGTAGCATAAGACAATAAACAGCCTTCAGATTTCAAAAACTCTGTAGAGCAATCTCAGCGATTAAATCTCTTCTCAATCAGCTAAGAAGATCAATGCAAGGAGAGGAAAATAACACAACTGACGTCCAGTTCTGAAGACCAGAAGATGAATAATCTGGAACCCTGTAAGCTTTCATTTCCATTCTAGAACTTCATGGATTAACACGAGTGATAATGACAAAGGGGCTTATTAATGCAAGTTGAAGTATTCCATCGCACTATGGATGCATCATTGCTAGAAATGATCATCCAGATGATCGTTTCCAGAAAATATGGACGACGTATCACATTGTGAGTCCTACGACGCGATCAGGAATTGTCAACTCTGATTCATGGAAAAAATTCTGACGTTTGCTTGCATTATATTCACACAGCTTCTTCCGTCTTTCTAGATTCATGGGGACCTGGTGCTTCGAGAAAAGGTGGTTTCGTACGCTACGTACGAATGTTGAGGGAATCAAATCAGCTTCGTCGATTCTTACTTCATGTTATATATAGATAGCGAAACCAAACAAAAGTATTAAGAACTAGAATTGGGGGCTGCAGCTGACATTAAAAGAGTGGCAGTACATTGAAATCTAATGAAAGCTGAAGGTCCAACAGTGATTAGAGTTGATGGATGATGAAACAAGAGGTGAAGGCACGGAATAAAGCTGCAAGCAAGACCATCCAATTAAGGGCAAGTATACGAGAAACAGGCAGCCGAACCACGTATAAAAGACGCTGGAAGCGGAAATAAACAGGAAATACAAACCGTGCGCGAAAGAAAATGGACATCTCAATCTCGAAGGAAAAAGTGCGCTGAATAACTCAACTTACAACGAAGACAGTGGATCCAAGGCGTGAACTGAAACGTTCGCGAGGAATTGGACATCTGAATCTACCAGGATGAAGTGCGTTGAGTGCCTCACAAACTCAAAAGATAGCCATTGGATCCAAGCGGGAAGCAAATAGCACCCAAAGGATGCTGAGGAGAAAAAGAGCCAGCATAAATCCTAAAAAGTTGCTGAATAAAAATCTAGAGACTGTAATCAAGGAAGAGGAGAGGGGGTGCATGAATCCTCTACCTCTTCTAAGTGGGAAGCGACGTACCTGAGTACAAAGTTGTAGTAAGAAGTAGTTTTCACTCCCTTTAATTGGCTCACACCTCATCCTGCAAAGGGTACCATTTCATGAACACGTACAGAGATAAGGTCCAGTAAAGTATGCTTGAATATATATAGAAAGTGGACATCGCATTATCTTCCTTGATTCCTATCTGGAAGTTGAAGAAACTAACCAGTGGATTGTTCGCGGCCGTATCAAAGGACTCCTCCGATGTAAAACTCTAACTGGCGTCTTCTGTTGTATCTCCTGCACAGAGGTTAGGAAGGATGGATGAGGATTTTACGCGATCCTTCCTAGCACGTAACAATCTAATCTGGACATTTAATGATGACGTACCAGCTCTTTTAGATCAGACAGTCGTTTGAAATCTGCTTGAGTCACAGGACGATCAAGCCAAACAACAGCTACATATTCCTTCTGCAAGAAACCCCAAGTGATCCATGACATTAGTTTCGCTCAGCTGTCTCCCATGACAATTCTTGCTACAGAAGCACTCAGCAATTAAGCAGTTGAAGAGATAATATTCCGACAAGGCTGAATAGAAACCCAACACAGCGCTTCAGATTTCACGACTTACTAAGAGTACAGAATGAGGACATTTAGACGGTTCATGTGATACAAGGTAATCAACAAAATCAGTATGAGTAACCTGTTTGAGAGGAAGTCTAGCACTGACTGAATAGCCTACACTTGAGCATAAGAGTTATCCCGTGAAGATCTGCATAACTTCTTGAGGCATGGCTTCTCCCAGCCTAAAACTGCAGAGTAAGAAACTACTGTCGGGAAGTCTTTCGAAACCGAACCTGCTTTTCAACCTCTCCCTGACGCATCAGAGCGCATACTTCGATGCCAACTTGTCGTAAACCCTTCACTTTAACCTGTTCTGCCTCAACCCAAAGAAATGAAGTTTAGCTGAGGTACAACTATTTTAAAGGAAACCTACAATTGTAGACATTCCTCCACCAGAAGAGCTTATGCACGCCTTAAAAGAGTCAAAATCTTGGTAAAAGATGTTCCTTGGACATTTAGACTGTTCACTATCTTAGCCGATTAACATTTTTCCATGAAAGACTTATTGACGCGCACACGTCAGACAGAAAATCCGTTTAAGACAATTCGAGGTGATTCATCTTCACATCACATGAAGCTCAGAGTTTGGAAGCTGTACTACACAGTAGGCAGCTGTCATAGCCTGGAGACAAAGAACCCAAGGGCAAGAAACGTAATCCACATAGATACCTAAATGGCAGCTTGTTCAAATCAAAAGTTACGTGCACATCAAACTTGCTAGTATTAGAGAATTAATATTACATACCAGTTAGGTTGTAAGGTTACAGACACAGGAACAAATGCAAGACCTGGAATATTTGTCCCAAGCATGCACTCATAGACATTCAGAGCAAACGAATTCTGTGCTACGTTCGATAATCTAGAATTCCTGCACCAATGTACTCATAAGGATAAGCTTGTCACCCAGAAGATCATAGACAGCTCGCCCTGGCTGAGTGTTGCTGAGAAGAGTTCGGTACACGAAGAAGACTGGATAGAACTATACGGCTAACAAAAACGAAGAGTACTTGAAAGTGGAAAACATTTACCACAAATGAGCTTAGTTTGGACTTTCCAGGTTTCAGTCAACAAAGGTAGATTTACTGCTTCATCGACCTGGCGACTGCAAAGATCCCCAGTAGCTACGACCCCCCTGAAAAGTGAGGCTGCCTAAGGCTGTGGAATAAGGCTAGAATGAGGAACAACACCCATTTAAAACCTTCAGTGTGCATGCAAACTAAGAACAATCTCGGAGATCTTGATTCAAGATACCGAGTTCGAGATCAAGGGTGGCAAGTAAGAGATATGATTCGTGGTTTGCTTCCTCGCTGTCCATTTTGTATCATTCACGTGCACTTGATTTTCCACTAATTTTCCAACATCTGTGCTTCCATCTGTAGTAAATCCAGAAGGCGAGAGCAACTTGGCTGCACTCGCAAAGACCTGCACCTGGAGGGACAGTTTAGCAGGTCTCCCTTCCCTTTTACAGTCCGTACAGCATCCAGTATAGTCCGGAGATGCGGTGATGTGGCAGATGGGATGTGTCACACAATGGTTTTCACTTCCAATTCTCCACCTCAGTTCTGCAATAAATCTACGTAATTGAAAAAAGGTGAATACCTCCGGCGAGGTGTGTCGCATGATGTTGGCATTCCATATTGATGCTCCAGATTCTAATAAAGGGCAATTTGACGTTTTGTTTCAGTGCTGATAAACAAACTTTTGGGTTATCTATTGAACTGCCTATGCCTTTCCTCAGCAACTTTCTATGAGTTGAATACGAGCAGACATCCTTCGGAGGATTCAATTTACACGCAAGTTGTGGGCGAAACGAGGAATCACTTGCTCAACCCAGTCCAATGTTGGTGACCGCTTCAATATCGCTCTCAACAATTATCATACCACATTTCTGCATATCTACCTCCATACCTCATGTCACACCACAATCTCGTGAGTGGTACATTTTCTGGTAAGTATTCCCGTGTTTATTCTAGTCCACAGAGGTCATCATCGGCGGACATCAATGCAGGTGTAGTGACCTCGCACAAACGAATGCTCAGACCACTATCTTCTTACTCTGTTGGCAGAAGTGTTCTCAAAAATTGTTGGGAAGAGGGGGCGGCTTCGGACAACTCCGCGATATGGATCAAAGAAATCACTCCGTTGGCATTAACCATGACTGTGCTCTTGGTGTTGTGGTTAACATCCTTTTGCACCCTCGACAAGGTTTGTGAACCGGTGTTAAAATGTGGAGCAAATATTTAGTCATCCAGTGGATGTACCCTGAATTTGACACACTGCCTAATTACGTAGGAGCTGCCCCAAGCGGCAGGAAGCCCAAACTAGGTACACATTGTCAACTTACTAAGCTCATCAGTAGCTGGGTTACCAGCCCGGGCAGAAGAAGGTCCGTGAGACCAACTTCATGAGGAAATAGCTGCAACCAAATTCACTGATGACCTTACCTACGTAAGATATAGACCAAAACGGAACTGCTATAGAGCAGAAATCAAGGACCAACGAAAAGACCTATCAGAAAATGTGAGCACCTCTAGATAGAGTTTCTTGTGTGGCCAGTCCAAGTATTACTTCTGAATAGCGAACCTTCAGGTTTGCTGTAGAAAACGGCATCTAAAACATATAAGGCATGCCGGAGCTTGTAATCCAGACCCAAACAGACTAACATTGCAAAACTTTCTGGAGAATTTTGCCGCATCAGCTTAGTAAGATAATGGGATGAAAGGTTACTCACCCAGCCTTCTTTCTGGCCATTGATGTCTAACTCCGCCTTCTCTATTTCTGAAGCTGACGGAATTCTCCGAGCATTAAGTAACTCGATTATAAACGGGCGACCTGTTCCCAGCATGCGAACCTGTGACCAACAAATGGTTTCTTTCAGGCAACGTACCGTGTTCTTCGATTAATAGATTTATCGATAAACATTTTCATGAATGTCGTAAACTCATAGGCTATGGACCTTTTTCACCTTGAAGCTGTTGCCAATACATAATCCCAGAAATTCATAGTTTTCGGTATATCTAACAGTACCCAGAGCAGCATATGTTCAATTGATTTGTTTGAATCGCGTTGCTAAAGAGGGGAAGCTTTCGTCTCTGATGAGGGTCTTACGTCAATATCCTCCCGGCCAGCAGCGTGAAACTTGTAGTTGTCTGCTTTGTAAAAAGGCATCACTACATCACCAATAATTTCCTGCACGCATGTAAACGTGTGAAAGGTATAATTAAAAAGCACTGCTAGTTTACTTTGCTCAAAACGTTGCACTTTCACACTTTGTCCTTGTCACCTGCCGACCAAGAGCTTTTGGATCATGACGTGTAGCAAATCAACTGAATCATGTACTTTGACAAGCTTGATAAGAGAACTGAATAAGCAACCAATACTCAAAATTGATCACACAAGTGTAGTGAAAGGAAGTACCTGCACTGAACCCTCACCCATGCGTTCCTCCTCAATCAACCACCGGCTTTGACTGACATTTCGTGAGAACTGAAACAACGGCCAGCTTTTAGTATCTATTACGAGAACATGAACCTGACGAAGGAATCCATGAAATCAATTGGACCACTTGTACAATACTGCATCAAATATCCTGTAGAAGTTTAAGCAGTATACTCTTGCATGTCCTAGCACGATACCTCACCTCAGCTAGTTCTCAACCGTGGTTTCTGTGTACACAAGATCGGGTTCAAACATCGGTTATGAAATAACAGGAATAGGAGAACGATCCGACTTGAAAAGGGAAGTTGAAAACATATGTGGCTCCTCTACCTTCAAGTATCTTCCGCCAACGAAAACTGGATTTCTCCAAATCACAGCCGCGATTTCGCAGGAAAGAGAACACTGCATAAAGAATGATGTGTGCGGTGAATAAAGAATTTTCTCAAACACAACTATGTGACGCGAATATAGTCCAGACATTGCCTCATACCAGAATGATTCAAGAGGTACATACTTTGCTTTCAGCATGACAGAGAACGTCTTCATTCAAATTAACATGTATTTTACGTTAAAAATTCTGCAATGTCTTCACGCTTGACATCAATACAAGGCCTTAGACTAACTTATGTCGCAGATAACTGCAAGATAATTAGACAAGACTAACTCTCGAAAAATGAAAACCAGACAACTGAATCCCCGATCGCGGAAAAACCTGAGATGGTGGGCACTGATAACGTCTCACAAACAGTTCGTTGTTCATAGATGCAAGGCTCCGCTGTACAGCAGCCAAGGACTCTCCAGCTTCTGCAACAGCTCTAGCCGCTACAACAGCAGCGAAACCTTGGGATTCAGGCTCATTATGCCCTCCTGACACCACAATTACATATGATTCGTCTTTAGCATGAGCTTTGCTAAGTTAGCAAGATATAAATACTACGAACGACCCGTATTCCGTGACGACTCATACATCAGTTAACCTCCATTGATAAGACCGATGCTGTAAGTCGTAATCTACGATTGAGCTCAATCACATCAACTAAATTCATCAGTGTTTGTCTGTGCTAGCCAAAATACCATCTACCCGATCACAAAACTGTAATTAGACCGACAATAATGCGAGCCAGAGCACATTCAGACTCAATCCCCAACTCTTGAAGCTGCAACCGTGTAACATACCGAGGCTTGGGTAAGATCTAGATGTTAGGAATCAGACATTTGCAAGATACGCTGAAAATCTAATATTACCATTTCTTTTCCGCTTTGCATCTCCTCCTGTCGACGCAGCAGCTAAAAACTCAATCTCCGCTGGGGATCCGGGATGTTTGAACACTAGGGCAATTCGAAGTGCCGCGCTTGTGTCAAACTTTGCAGACTGCAGTTGTGATCAAGAGAAGCAAAATGCAACCGCAGTCATCAAGTAGCTGTTAGGCTGGTGTGTTATCTTCGGAATTCTAGCTATTAGATATCTTCGAATTTCAAGGCTTTTTCCACTAATGAATGACTTACTTTCGGCCATGTGATTAGAAGATACCAGAACTTCAAAGAATAGAAGATAAAATACACAAGGAGAAGCTCAAGAAATAGATCGTAAGCCTGGTTTTTACAACTTCAACTAAGAGCAGAGCTGTGTGTGGGAAAAAGGCCCCAAGTATCTACCAGTGCATGTTCAAGACGTTCAAGCAAAGACCATTTCACAGCCTCCTTCAAGGAAACTATGTGGTCATTTACATCCTGTCCACTGAACAAAGTCTCCACCTTGTATTGTTCCTTCAAGTAACACCTGGTCCACAAAGAAAATTGGTCAATACTCAACAGCTTGTATAAGTAAATTCAGCTGATGTCATCTTGATTAAGAGGATTTCATTCCAGGCTAGGGCTGCACTCTCAACATCCTCAACACGATCGAATTTGACTGCGATGAATTCGTGCTATGTCAAGAATCAGCAGAAACGACGTTCAGAAGAGAGCATTCTGGAGATGATTACAGAATTAGAGTTTGTACCAAAAGCTACGCTCTCGAAGAAGAATAAGAGCCGGTAAAGAGACTTCGAGACAAAATTTGTCAACAGAATGGCCCGCATCGTCGATAGCCTTCAATATACAAGAGACTGGATTTTTTTCAAGGCCTTCAAAAGGTTCGTGCTCTTGACGTTCAGTTCCAGCTGCATGGTCTAACCGTTGTAGTACTCCAAGGCATATTAAACAAGGAGCAGAGTTTTCATCTAAGACCGAGTTTTTCAAATTCTCCAACTCGTGTTCTTGGTTATGCTCGGTGGAGGAGAAAATTTTCGAGTAGACCTCAGCTGGAGTAGGTAGCTCAATAGAGTACACGGCATCGCGGACATTCAGAAAGCGAAATATACACCGGAGACATAACTGCAATTCAGCCAGTTTGAAGATTAGCAATGTACGAAAAACCTTCGATGCTTTTATCAAGTCTTCACTCGTGACAGTGCTCATCGGTGTTCATTTGAGCAAGAGTAAAAGAGACACTTCGGTCCATATTTAGCAGTCTAATTATGACCCTTTTTTGGTTTGAACTCCTTTTTCTTTGTTAATAGTGTCCAGATTTTATGCTTCCAGAATAACGCCTCCCTTCAGACAAATTGCAATGTCCATCAAAAAATTCTCTGAATTTTCCAGCCCCAGGAAGATAACCCGTACTTGTCAATAGTGGATGTGGCCTTCAATCATACTGATCAGTGACCGATGCAAGATGAGAGTGCTACATGTAACATCCTTCAAAATTGGACCAGTTCTGGAAGATAGACAGAACCCAGACGAAAATTGGGCGACACAGACAACAGTTTCAAGATGCATTGCATTCAAGAGCAGACAGAATACACATCAAACTTTTGAATATATCCTCCATTCTCGCAATGACTGAATGCTCTCATATCTCTAATGCTCGTGAGTTTTGCTTTTAAAAAGTCGTGATAAAGTAGACATGCGACATTCACTTTTCGCGTTTTCCCAAGATCCAAACCCAAAAGAAATCGCTTGAGCTGCATGACTCACTACGCTGACGATATCACGTAATATTCTATTCTGCGTACGAACAATATGCACAGAACTACCCTACAGCTCAAGAGAAATGCACGACGGCAACCAATCAGTACAGTCATCTACAGTCCATATTGCAACGATGTAGGCCCAGATTACGCTACCCCTTGCCGCAGAAGCTCGAGCACAACACGGGCAGGCAACCTGTCCAGCAGCTCCTGAAGAGCATCCGGAAAGCCCATTAGCTCTTCCGTGCACGAAGCTCCGTCTTTCACCCTCACTCCTTTGTCCAACCTTTCCTGCAGCTCCCGGCGATGTCTGCCAGAGTTGCACGGGAAAAAAGGGAAACCTGCTTCCCAGATGACCGAAAGTTTTGACTATTGGACTATACGCTTGCCCTAATTATGATGTCATCACGCACAACGCACTTGTCGTGCCGACTGTACTACGTCGCAGCATAGTTGTAGACAGTGGCAAATCTCGTGGGAAGCAATTGCTCGGAACGCCATACAGCAGTAGGGAGACGTCAGTAGATCATCGCAGTTCAGGCTTTGGTGCTGGGGAGGGGAAGGTTTTCTGGGAACGACGAATAGAAGGCTTAGTGACATAAAGACAGGGGACTTCGAGGAGTAAGTGATGGCTGACGACGACGTGGAGATGGATGTGATCCGCGAAGAGGAAATGGAGAGCGCGAGTCTGCTTTCCTCGTCAGCGAAAGAGAAGTCGGCGTCTTTAGCTCGAGCTGCTTATCGAGCAGAGCTTGCAAGCAAACGAGCAGCCCTGTTGGCAATCCTGATCATTCCGATCCTCGTCATGATCGTCCTCTGGCATGTCTTTGACTCGAACGCCAACTTGGGTTTCAAGAAGCAGCCTCCGCATGAGAGCATTCCCCGCCCCTAGCGCTCTTCTTCCTGGTCCTTACGGGATTCCAATTTGTGGAGGAGGAAGTCGCACAGGAGAATCTATTCTGCCCGTTACTTAAAATAATCATCCCTTTGGAAGAGGCGAGCGATCTTGAGTGCACCGCCACAGCGAACACGAATTACGCACGAATGGACCGAGTTGGTTGCGAAATTAGTGTACAGCAGGGAGTCGCAGTCATCATTTTGGAATGGAAAGCTCGGATGATGAAACTGCGTCCCGCCGCGATCATCTAATTGAGGTGAGCGATGCAAGTCGATGCAATACAATTACGGCTACAGGGACATTAGAGAAAAGCGTGTCACACGAAGAGTTCGGTGTCTTCGACTTTGATTTTGTAGATTCTAGATTAAGACTGTGAGATCAATGCAATTAGGGAAAGGGATCAAAGAGCTCCTATCGAGTCATGGAAGATTTCCGACACGGTCGTCGATTTCAAGCTCTATTCGCGCTTGAAGCACGGGGCGTCGATCTCATGATTTGTTACTTCTGCATCTGTACAGACATACTTTCATAAGAAACCACTGAAGTAGGAAGAAATTACGATATTCACAAATGTCGGTGGCATCTGTTTCCATGTGCAATCATCAGAGATTGAAGTTGTACTGTCAGTAGCGGTGAGCTCCCTTGGTAGTGACAGAAACCCGTCGACATATCCGGTGAATACACGGGAAAGATTTCCGTGGAGATCTTGAATTTTGTTTCCAAATTTTCTCTCCTTGTGATGGTGCATGCAATCGTCCCCATTGCATTTATTGCGACATGGATCTGATGGACACTCTGCAGCTCTTATCTCTTTGTTCTACATCCCTGACAGTCCTATCAAGATCTGTCAAGAGCTCTCGTCCGTTCGCCTTATTTGCAGGCCAGAGTCAGATGTTATTGAAAGACTTAGCATCTACAAAATGTCTTGTGAGATTCGTTCTGAGGTGCATCGCCTGTGACAGGTCTCAGTTGACCACTGTATTGAGTTCAGTCATGCTTTGCTTGCTGGTAAAGCTGTTAGAACTTTCTGCGTCGTGTACCAGTCGTCATTTGAAGATCTGTCGCCTCCAAAAGCTGTTTACAAATTGAATGAATTGGAACATACCTAGTAAAATATTGGTTTCTTGTCGAGCTTGAAACTGATATCTTCACTGAAAATGTAATGGATGATTAACTTATTTTGGGGTCAAGATACACGCAGGATTGCATTTGACTCGTGAGGACGACCAACTGCAAGCTTGCCAGGCATGGAGATGGCAATGGGCTTGAGAAATTCAGCGCCTCGCTGAGAACTGCAAGCCATCCAGGGCGACGCCCAATACTCGATTTGGTTCATTGATCAGCAGCCGGACGGTGACCTGCAGCCCATCTGGTCGTCCACGTTCCCAGAAGCGTCCAGAAAACACGTTTCAGTAGGGGCTTGCTCCACCGAGAAGTGCCAAATCTAGAGGTCTTCCTATATTAGAAGTTGTAACAAAGTTAACCACGACCTCCTCCTTCAAGGTGGTGAGGTTTTCACTGAGATGGTGCATATACTGCATACGTATCTTCACTTTGGGCTTAGGGTCTAGTTACATGTGTATATCATGAAGAGATGTGTTTGGGATGGAGACAGACTCCGGTAAGTTGAGATCTACATTAGGTGTAGATTCATCACTTAGCGAAGGAAGATCTCTCTCTCTGATTTAAATTGGAGGCGAACATCAAAGCGTTATTGTTACTCTAGAATTTTAGCTATGAATCCAAATTGTTTGTGTGGAAGTGAAAAGCCATGGAACCTCCGACCGAAGGCAAGGTATTATCCCTCTCTTGTAAATTTCTATCTCGTCCACCACTCATATAATATCTTTGCAAGCTAATTGTCTCATCTAATGAATCGAAGCTTGAACATGCATTTCCTATCATGTAGTTCGTCCAACTCATAATCGCAGGTAATGGTGTCCTGTCGTGTAAGTCTTCATATCAGTAAGATTTGTTGATGACACCCAGTAACAGGAGTATCATAATTCCAATCATCTTAGCGACAAGATCAAGTTGAATTGAATGCGATAGTGCTCCATGATAGCTTGAAAGTTGTACACAGTCTCTCACAGAAAAATCCATTCATCAAATAGCCTACTGCATAACACTATCATTAAGCGCTGGCAGATATTCTGGATTTCATTGAAAACATTGTAGACTACTATGTGTGAAGGGAAATACATCTCTCCTGCATTCTTCTACGATTTAGTACTTTGGAGGTGCCTCTATCATATCTTGTGAAAAAAAAATGAAAGTCAGATATGCAGTAATATATTTTATCATATATATATATATATATATATATATATGCTTTTTTGTCAAAATGTATCATCTTCCTCAACACTAGGTGGCACTTACTATAACTAATACATACACCATATATATATATATATATATATATATATATATGCTTTTTTGTCAAAATGTATCATCTTCCTCAACACTAGGTGGCACTTACTATAACTAATACATACACCACATCTCTAAAAGATGAGGATCACCATGTCTGGTGCATATATGATGATTCTAACTAACTTTAGAATCGTCAATCAAGTTAGAGTAGATGTACATAATTGTAATTAAGCCATTTGCAAAATAGAAAAACTGGTGAGAAATCTTGATAATGTGATCGTGATGTATTCTAGCACTCCATTATGATTTAGGTTTTCAAACTACGAAAACTACTATAACTACTACAAACTTCAAACTACTATGAAAATTCACCAACGAAAACCATCAATATGAAGTTTGAAACATTGATATTGATAAATGGTGATATCAATAATTCATTAAGATGAAATGCGATTTATTTGATGTATATTTATTTATATATTTTAATACATATTTTGAATTCTTTTAAATTTTATTAGTCTACTTATAATATGTAATTGTAAGTTTTTTATCAATTGAATATTTATGTTGAAAAAATGAATATTTATGTTTCTAATTTAAAATTTTACACCGGTAAATTTTTTGGAATAATGTGATTACAGGTTATATTTTTTTCTCAATTAATGGTTTTTAAAAAAATATTAATTCTTGTAAATTTTACTTTGAATTTGTTTTCCAAAAAATATTTTAATGTAGAAATAATTCAAATATTTTTTTTTAAATTGAAACACATTTTGTCAATTTATCAATTTAATTTTTTGAATTTTTTTCCACTTAAACTTGAAGGAACTATTGATCGATGATTATGCAACAATAATATACGCTTCCCATATGAAAGAAAAATCAATTTATAGAAAAAAGTGGTTTATCCAATTCAACCTTTTGATGACCTCAGTATAAAATTCGACTTCAACGTAATATAAACTTTAGAATTAAAGTTTGTAAATGACATGTAAATAATGATATACCAGAAAATAAACATATATATATATATATATGCATACATACATATATACACTTACTTAAGAGGTATTCACCATCTATCAAAATCAATCAATTTTTCATCTCAAAATATACATATGGTAGATGAAACAAGATATAAAAGATCTTAGGATTTTTTTTATAAGATTTTCAAAAAAACATTGAGTCAAAATCATCTTGAAACATGATATAAAATATTGGTCGGAGTACGGCCCAATATCAGTTTTTCTTGAATTTGATGAATCTTCTTGAAAGTAGTTGTAGTCAAAGTCTGTAGATACAATCTTACACAAAGAAATCAACTATATTTTACTCTAACATCGGTAATAGATAATGATTTGGATATGTTTGTGATTGAACGAAAGAGAATCTACCGTGTCAATCTGTCTAAATTCTTAAATATACCTCGTATCTCTTCAGACAGCACTAGTGAATATATACACTTGAAAGAACAATCATTTTGGGTTTCGCGGAACTCTCAAAGGGCTTTTTGATTAATTACATACTTTTGAAAACATTCCAGTTGGCCCCATGAAAGGTTCTATTATAAGCACGATTGAATGAACATTTTGATTCAGATTTGCCCCATTGCGATTAGTGAAGTTGTACTCAAGCCTAACAATTTGTCTTCTTTGCGGTCTGAAATCCGAGGTTTATCCAATAGTAGCTTCAGCTAAGTAATGATTAGATCACTAGTCCAACGACTACATGTGCTGTTTTTCCACTCTGGTGCCAAATTGCTGCAACTGTGGGACAAAACAGGCTTAGTACATGAGGAGTGAAAGCATCCAGCACCATAAATTATGTTCCTTGCTGCTGAGTAAACGGTGAGTTTTACGTGTAAGGAATTTGCAACGAACGAACCAGTAGATTTCGAGCTGTGGATTTGAAGAGGTTCTAGATGTTTTACCATTAACCCTGTGTGCAGAAATGGCACATTGAGACTGGAAAATCTTGTACACGAACAGAGTAACGAGGAGTATGACCATATATAACAGGATTGTGGCTGACACAGGGCGAAGTAGCTTCGTGCAATGCGGAATGGAGCTCCGTAACCGTGTCGAAGATCAAGCATCCGGTGGCCAGGTTGGGTTGTTTGTGTTTAGATCAATTTATCGGCTCAGCGTGGTTGGAAATCGGATCATCAGCTGAGCTATGCAGTTCTCTGCAGATTATGTCATGAACAAACTGAGTCTGATCGACAAATCTATCTATTTGGCATTGTGGGGCATATGTGATTTGAATTTCGATGATGTAAACCTCATTTGGCAGTGGAAGCCATCTTGAACGGTTTATGTACGTATAGGGTTTTATCTGAGGACTACGAAAAGGGGAAAATTATCATTGGGAGATAATCGACAACGTTTTAGAAGGTTTCAAAGAGCATTTCTGGGTGTTCAGTTCGCGCTGAATGTGTTATTCAAGCGCGGGTATAGGACGAAATTGCTTTCCACTTTGTGTGTAATCGCAAGCATTCCGTCGTGTGGCATTGGAGGACGTGAGGCGCGGGACACTGTTATTTTGAAAGAGTCAGCTTCTGCACAGTTTTCCACCTTGAATACAAACTGTGAATCTCACATGCGTGATCGTCTCTCAATTTTACGATTTCATCATGAACGGAAAAAATAGAGAATCTGCTCAAAGGTATTGATTTATATGCGAAAGATTGAAACCCCTGTACACTACGAACGCGTCTGAGTTGGGCTACTTAGTTTTTCGCTGAGTTGTTTACGAGCTGAGCAATATGGAAGTCGACACTGGGAAGAAAGTCTGTTGGAACGCAGCTGCAACTAAGGCTTGTCAAGAGGTCACCAAAAGTTCACAGTTGCTCAGGTCTGCTTCCAAGACCTCTCATGCTGGGGGGATCCAGCGGCGATTAGTGTTAAGCACTGTTGGAGCTTTTGCAAGGCTTTTCACTTCTGTGCTGAATAGGACCACGGTTTACAACAAGGACACTCTTCTTGATTTAGTGCAGTCTCGACCGTCAGACACGCCTCTTGTCACTGTCAGCAACCACATGTCCACGTAAGTTTTACTCGCACTTCTCTGGAACCGTCTTGCAGTCTTCAGCACGCTGATCATGATCGGGAAATATCAGATGCTTTGAGCTCATGTTGCTCTAAGTAACTCTCGTTTTTCTTAACAGTGTTGGCTTACGCTCTGTTCCAGTCTCCATGTACAGGTTGGACGATCCGCTGATGTGGGGCATGAAGGGACTACCTATAACCGACCCCAAGCTTAGTCGATGGACACTAACAGCAGAGGATATTTGTTTCACCAACCCTATATTTTCCTACTTCTTTCGGCTAGGTGAGAGATCTCTTATCGGTTATGAGAAGCGGGATTTAGGTCGATATAAAAGCGAACCAAGGAAGATCGATGGCTAGGTTTGAAGGGATTTTCGAGATGACACTTTGAGTTGACTTAGGGATCCTTGAATCAGCTTACCATTGTACTGTGAGTTTTCACGAGTGTTGAGAAGTTTCCTTGAGAAACAAATCTAATAACAAGAAATAAGTTACTGTATATAAGTTCCTATAGATTCAGTAACTGCAAAGGAGCTGGCCAGGTTGATAGATCAGTGCCGGTCATGTTTTCCAATAGTGAGTACGCCTGGACAGGAGAATAAGAGAAATACACTGAGGAATGCTACCCCTAAAATTGTTGCTATGTGATCTTTGGTTTGGTTTTGGTTTGTTCACAGTTCTTTTGCTTCAGCCCCATACACACCACCACAATATGGCAGCTGAGTAGTTAAAATATGCTGTTGGCACGGAGTAACGAAATGAGGGCTTATTGTTAGCTTTAACCACAAAATTAACCCCCACAAGAGAAACAAATATCCTCACGTCACATGACTATGACGTGAGGATATTTGTTGCTCTTGATTTTGTATCTCGTGCTTGCGATGAACCCATACGGCAATAGCAAACCTACGGCAGCTTCTTAGATTGTCTTCATAATCGATGCTCCTAGTTCATTTTCGACAATTTCGATGCGCGTTTCTTTCAACGTTTCTTTTCTTGTGGTGTACGTAAATGTCCGAACATGTTTACCGCTGAAGCTCGCAGCTTGTATGTCATGCTTTGATACTGTACGCCTAATGGTTTCTTCCAGTTTGTTCCGAACAAGTTTGGGTACTCATAATTCTAATACGTATGTTTTTTTTAAATAAGCGTGGTTTTAGCTAGCAGCCTTAGGATTAGAAAACCTCATCAAAGTTTTCAAGTGTAATATACTTGGATGATTTATGTTTTATACAGATGGCTGAATATGTTAGTCACAAAAGCTTGCAGAGTCCTTACATTTCCTGGATATTTTGGATGGTGACTTTGCAGGGAAGTGCTTACCAGTTAGAAGAGGAGCAGGCATTCATCAGCCTTACATGGACGAAGCCCTGGATGTGATCAACCGGGGCGATTGGGTAAGATGAACCTGTACGAGTCTCTTGGAAACCCTTCTTATGATCCCACTTATTCTTTTGAGCTTATGGACCAGGAAACTACTGTCGTCGAGGGCATTATTCTGATGTTATCCATGCGGAGTTCTTTTTATGTAGTAATTGCTGGATACTCCAAGCAACACCGAAGTCGTTAGGTTTAGTAGTTTTATATGATATGGGTCGAGATTCGTGTAAGGTGTTTACTGTTCAAAGAAGCACACATCACCACTTGTATTCGTGTCCTGTGCCAATATATTGACATGCATGATTTTTGAGTATCAACCATAAGCTGGACCTAAGATTTCATACGTCTTTGTGTCGGTTTTCCCAGCACGGGAATATTGCGCTTTTCTACCTTATTGTCTTTCAGAAACCAGTACCAATCTATAAGGTTGACATGAGTTTTGGCTAAAAACATGGCCTGTTTATTTTTACAGCTTCATACATTTCCCGAGGGAAAGTTATCACAAGAAGAAGGACCCATGAGGCGACTAAAATGGGGAACTGCAAGCCTGATTGCTCGTGCGTCCGTACAACCTATTGTTTTGCCAATCGCTCACAGTGGATATGAGAAGGTGCACAACTTTAATCTTTGTTTTAGCCCGTGTAGCCACTCAATGCTTGGTCATTAGCTTCATTATCGTTTATCGTTTGTCTCAGCTCATATGCATTGACGTTTACATTAGGTGGATCTAACGAATCAATGCTAAGCTCATATCTTAGATCGAATGACCTGCTCTGAAGCCTGAAGAGTGACGTGAGAATCCTAGTGGACCTACAGCAGTTCTCATCAGTAGATTGCCTTCTTAGAAATTCGTATTTGCAGCTTCGGATTCAGCCACATAAATAGGCTAAGATCAATAACTATTCTTAGTTTTCTAAGTGGACTACCACTAAAACCTATCCTTGGAACAAGGCTATAAACTTACTACCTAAAAAGTTCTTTTGATATTCATTCGAACCTTTGTGTGAACGACATATTTCTTACTTGTCTACAGGGGACTGTACTTAAGGGGACAAGTCATAGTACAAGTCTTGAAGGATGAGCCTCCTTCGTCACAACTAGGACAAGGGAGGCAATTTATTCCCTCTGGAATCTCACAAACACAATGCAAGTCTTGCGACCCATGTTGAGTCTCTAACTGCAGTGAAGATCTATCATGAGAGTTTTATAATTTTACATTCTAAGGTACAGACTTAGAGACCATCATCGGGCAGGTCATTCAGGTTTGTTATACGATTCTCATAGTTGTCTGGCAAGGGATGGATAGCTCTGGTATGTACAGTCATAACCCTGGTTATTGTATGTGCCAAACTAGTGTCGGTTCTTAATCAGTATTGGCCACATTATCTTCAGTAAAGTTTTCTTCCGTAGCCTGTCTACACTAAGTGCAGGTTTGGGAGTTTTGAGGAGATTCGTAAACTTATTCATAGTTGAAGAATATTCTTTTAAGTTAAATAGGGGCTCAAAAAACAACTAGGCCCCAATTCTTTGCATGAATACTTTCACTCAATTTCCTCTGCCCCTGCCGTACTCCAGCTCGATAGTTTCCAACGCCTGTCCAGGGTTTAGCCTTGGGATTTCACCGCGGACTTAAACTGCTGCCTACATACGCTTTACGCCCAATCATTCCGAATAACGAACATGGAAAACTCGAAATGGATGCCTCCACTGTAATTAGCGTGGATTACATGACGCTGATTTTTATATAATTGACATAGTTCTTTATTAGCATTACCGCACTAATTAGGAACTTATCATATATAACATGTATAATGACACCTAAATTATTGTAAACTTTCCTGGTTAGGTCCCTAAAGTTTGGCCTTCCTCTGTAACTACGGTAAGACTGTAGTTTTCTTTCCTCGTGATCTCAGGTTGTTGTTTTTGTGATAACCCTCTTGGCAACACCAGGTCGCTATCACCTGTTGGTGGCTAAGAGCTCTTAAAGATCTAGGACAATGGTAATTGCTGAATATAGATGTGTCCTTTCTGTCGCGAATCATTGTCCGTGTCCTGGCTTTAATAATGCCACTCGTAACCGAGATAAATTTGTTGACCTGGCTGACGTCACTGGCTCTGCTCATGATTACTGCCCGAGTGTACTCTTGTTACCAGTTTCAAAGAATCATCACACTCTTTACCTGGCCAAAATGTTCAAATAACACCCTTGTGATGTCAAACCTAGTCCCATAGGAAATTGTTCTAGAGGAAGACGATATTTATAGTGAGATATTTACCTTTTTTAGTTCTGTAATAACTTAAAGACAGGTATTTGCTGCAATAAGCACACTTGTCGTTGTACACCTTAAATATATTTTGTCGTATATTTTTCTGGACTTAAGAGGTACTTCATGTCATGTTTCAAAGTGAACACGTTACGTATTGATTGAAGTATTTTGCCTTACAACCTTTGTCCTTGGGTTTCTCAGACTTACTGTTTCTTTTATCCTAGTAATATCTGTGACTAATATGTAATTCTTATTGTTTTGAGGTTAATTTTCAATTTTGATAATTCTTGGCTATACTCCCCTCTAGCTTTTGTATATCGTAATCAACAGAGATGTAAAATTGAGAAGGTCTTTAGTCGTCTTTTCATTTTCCTTATAATGTAGACTGAAAACTCCAAGGCTGTAAACCTGTCGAATGGATTGAAGGTTTCCTTACGAATGTTTTAGAGGCTAGACGTTCTGGTCATTTTTCCATGCTTATAATTGTTTTCAGCGTTCTTTCAAAATGGACACGAGCTCTTATTAGGATATTTTTTTCAGTTCTGCTATCAATTTTTTACACAAATTTTATGTATAAAGAGATCAAAACCTATAGAACGAAAATCAGGCATTTGAATTGTTGTTTTTTTGTGCCGTCCAAGTTTGTTTAGCGGTTGCTGTCCTGCTTATGTGAAGCATATTGGTCAAGAGCAAGGATCGAGGCCCTATGCGATTCGAGGATTGATTCTTTACTTGGAATTGTTTATTGTAGGTGTTACCCGAGAACTACATGTTTGGGAGGCGACCATTACTCCCTCTTCCTATGAAACGCATCACCATAGTCGTTGGTGAACCCATGGTATTTGACATCCCTCAATTGAAGCTCATTGCCAAATCCGTGGTGTCAAGAGGTGCCAGTGAAACACGGTCAAGCGTTCCTCATTTATCAGGTGCTGGTCGTGCCGGGAGTAGAGAGGGTACTAACTCAGTAGACTTTTCATCACCGCATTTTGACGACGTTTTGAAAGAAAGGTTTGTCGGAGAATCTTCGGCTATCCTTGAAGAGAAAGTACAACGCTGGATGTACTCACATATGTCGGAGAATCTTCGTTGTTTGCTCCAAGATTTGGCTCTGAAGGCGAAGGTGTTAAATGCCGAGCAAGGTTGAACTCAAGCACGGTTGTGTGATCGAAGTGAGAAATATTTCTATAGAATCAAGATAATTCTCACGAATTTGAGCGTTGGCCAACCTTATTATAATACCATCTGTTTTCAACTTATTTTTCAACGTTCTGTCTGATTGTATATTCACAGAGCGGTTGTCAGCATATGTTATATAATCGTCATCGTACATCCGTAAGTGGTACAATATCGCATCAAGACCATCGTTCGGACGTACAGTTTATAGACAAATGTTTTGTCTCTAGTTACCGGTTGGAATACGGTGATATTTAAACAGAAGCGGTTGTGTATGTTCTTATATAGGGAAAAACGTCTATCATCTGCTTTTAAGGAAAGCTGAAGAAGGTTTTCCAGCTGGGCTAGCAACCAGGCAGGAGAAAGCTTTGTGCGAGTTCAGCGTTTCTTGTTTTGATGTAATGTGGTCTACAAATACCCAGCTAACAGAGACTCTGACCTGTAATGCCTTAAGGGAGGAGTAAACTCGCACTCACTTTTCTGATCTTTCAACGAGGAGGGGATAGGAGGAAGGTTCAAACATGAATCGAGCCATGTGAGGAATATCCAAATGGAAGGTTAGAGGGTCGTGAGAGACTTGTGGACAGTATATTGATGTGAAATAACCCCGTTAAATAGTTAAGCGGACATTTTTTGACAATTTTTCTCTAAGGAAGTCTTCGATAGGACCGACTATCACTCTGCCTTCACAATGTTGGCCAGCTATTTGCATATCATGGGCAGGTGTTTCCTTTGGTTTTCTCTTTAAGATTAAGTGACTCCTGTAGCCACCAGGACAGTTTGAACGTTGTTGAAGTTTTGGTGCGGGCTTCAAAATGTGAACATCGCAATGTCTGATATATTCCGCGATGAAAGCACCTGCTAAGCATACACATTCCTGAAGGTATTATGTCTTGCACTCATGTTGCTGCTATGAATCATTTGTTGCTTTGTAAGCGACCACCTATGTCAAGCGCTGTTGTCGTGACTCCTGGTTTTTGAAGAACAAAGCTGCGTGCGCTGGGCTGTTTACTGCACTGTTTAACATCCGAATCTCAGAAATTCTCAGTATGGTTTTCTTCTTGTACTACTGGAAGAACTGGGGAATGCAATTCCAATTACGCCTTGCGGGTCCGTCGTCTCTATGCTAGAAAATATAACTAACATACGAAATAAGTACTAATTTATGAAAGCTAGACACGTAAGCAGACGTAGCCATTCGGTAAGAGGGCTTAATTTTGGATTACCATAACACAGTGGAATTTGAAGTCACTTGGAGATCACCTTGCAAACCGGTGCTGGAACGAGTGGGACGTTTGCACATCTTAACAAGGGATTTTGGGTGTCCACAGGCCGACATGTGCTCTGAAGATAGAAAGGTAAACTGTATCTACATAGACGGGAAAATCCCAAATCCAGAAGTTTTCCTCACAAACTGGTACTCTGATCGTACCACACACGGAAGGCGCGTGAACTTGCGCAGTAACAACCGAAACGAAGACTTACGATCCAAACGTCGATTCGACTTAAATTGTACTGCGAGTTACTTGAACTGGCCTCAACAGAAAGGAATGTCAAGTACTGCGCAGCGGCATTCGGCATTCGATGATCTGTGAGATGGATGCGTACAGCACCAGCAAAAGGCAGAAGGATTCCGATGCCTCGTGTTTTTGTCAACGAAATGTTTCATCAATTTGGACCCCTGTTTCTTCCAATCATAAAGCCACGAGCGTTGAATTTTTGCAGATTCCATTTTCCAGATTGTGCTGTACCTCGGACTCCTTCCGGCACCGCATGCTCTTTTCTTCCATGCAGCTGTATATGATACAAATGTAGGCCTAGACGTTCACCTTTTCAGCGCATGGAATCACAAAATGCCTGCTACTTTTGCAACTTTCTATGACATGAGGAATAAAGCGTAGTGGTTGCGAATTCACAAAGCCTAGATTGTATATCCGTGTAGAGTCTGTAGATCATCATAAAGAAAATGACTTCTGCTCGAGCTAGTAGGAATCTAGGGAGTTCGTACAAGTGGGATTTTCTTGCATATTACCAATTGAAAAGTGTTGACCAGGTGCAGAAAGCTAGAGTCAAGCATATCTAGTGATGTTTTCAGGATTATAGGGCTGTAGGGGGATAGAAAATGATAAGCGAATGCCTCAACAAACAAGCTGCCTATGTCTGGTACTGTAGTGCGACGAGGTTATATTTAGAACTGGAAATCTATGACGCTCTTATCTGCAAGCTGGTCTAGAAGCAAATAACTGAGAAGTGTGTGCCTCAAGAACAGACTCTACCGTCTCGTTGATACTCTTGACGTGTCTGAGTTATCCATGTTCAATTGAATCAAGGTGCAAGATAAAAGTAAAAGCTCGGAATAATACAGTTTTTCTAAGTTCATCTGTGTGTAATATATTTTATTAGATGGATAGACACACGGATGTGTATTGTTAGTAGAGGAGTAGAAGGAAGAATCGAAATACTCCGTTGCAGTGTGTGAGAAATGAGGCCACACATCGTACCTTCCTAATAGTTTCGGTATTCGTTGTGAGTTGCGAGATTACTAGAGCAGCTAGATTGAAATAACGAAAATGATTGTAACATGAGTGAAACCAAACATTTAAAACTTAAATTTCATTTAATACATCATGAATATTTAGGCCATACAGAGAATCATCTCATAATACTGTTTTTTCCATGTATTGCAACAGTTACTATTATTTGTATGACAGTGAAAAGGTGTTTTCTTAAAGACGTCTTAAAACAAGAAGGAGAATGTATCACTCTCTCTATATTGGGGGAGTATTTGACACACTTTGGCACAAACATGTCAAAATTTTGTTATTGGTTCATGTAATCATATTGCGTTGTGCGTTGGATAAAGATAGAATATTATAGTCTTCAATCTAACAGAAGAAATTAAAGATTGGAGCTCGTGTTTAACATCCACATCTATTGATGATGATCATGCAATCAAAAAAGTGTCAAAACTACGATATTTCTTGTGTTATCTCAGCCATTAAAAAAATATAAGAATATTTTTCCATTCAAATTAGACAAGGAAATTAAATTATTTATTTTGGCCAGATTTTTTATTACGTGCTTGAATGTCTAAGATTTGATGATTGGATTTGTTAGAAAAGACTCGTCAACTTTTGTTGATTTCCCAAGCACATGTTTTAAAATAAGGGATTGAATTAATCTATAGCTGAAATCAATCATTTTCTAAACATGAAGTATAGATTAAAATTGATAACACGATTTAAATACTTTAGATGTATATAAAGTATGCAATTACTCCTTGGAATGCTAATTACTATAGGGAGCCATGTCCGGCAATTCCATTAGTCAAATTAGCAAATCTGTTTATCATAGAGCATATGTTCAAGTCAAATGGTGCATATGAGACAAAAAGTTTATCAAAGTTATAATGAAAATGTTGTATAACATTCACAAACCATAGTCATATTCGGATAAAGTTTTTTAATGATAGTAACAAAATCTGGCACAAAGTCAGAGAATAAATCCTTTAACTGTCAATTACTGAAAGCATACTGCTTTTTTATTTTTGATCTTTAAAGTAATAAAAAGTCTTTGAAAATCGATGATGAAAATCGATTCTAATTTACATGTATTGCGAAAACATGTAAATTGGAATATGATTGGAAGAAAAAAACCGTGCAGAAGAATAAATGAAAGAGGAAGCAAAAATATTTAATCTTTTTAAAATAAAAAAAATACATCAACATACAATATATTAAGTATGTGTTTAAAGTAATCTCAACAAAAATCAGAAAATGAAATAAGATTCAATAATGAGTGAGACCTTTAACAATGATATACATTTCTTTAAAGTTAAGAAAATTAACTGATGAGATTACTCCAAAACACAAAGAAATTATTAGGCATCATCACATATTGTTTTACCCGATGTAGCACTAGGATTTAGAAAAAAGTTCACTCGAAGATGAAAACATAAACTCTGAAGATGAGAGATACCAACAATGGTTCTCGTCTCCTTTACATAGCTCTCACCAACAAGTACGAAGAGATAAAATTTTCTCCACAGCATCCATCCCATTCCTAATGGATGGATGACGTGGCAGATAACCCTAACAAGCACATGTATTGCTAACGTGACGCTCCCAACTAACACACTCAATCATTACCTAGCAAGCCTACGGAGCGTTCACGTGGCACTGTCAACTAACACATCTACTCTCTACCTACCAAGCAAACAGATCGTTGACGTGACAGCTATGACTAAATGCACGCTAAATGTATATATATCAACATTTAGAGTACCCTCTACTTTAGTTTATACTAACTAAAGATGGTTACACCTGATGGGATTCCATCAGCGCTCCAATATACACCGACGGTGGATACTATCATGAATTCTAACGCGGTGTTTAGAGGACGGACATCTAGAATAAAGGAGGAACAAACAATAGCGGAGTGGGGCTGAGAGAAGTTTGCGGATCGTTGCAATCGACAACAAACGCAATTAGTGATCAATGTTCAATTCTATTGATTTATCATATCAAGCAATCTACTGAAGTTCAACGAGCTTTTACAGTAGTTGCAAGATCTATGACCGGAACTAGTATACACTGATCTTCATATCTAACTTGCATGGAAATGATCACAAATCCATTACGATTGTATCATTCCACATGTTCTTCTTCTATCTTTGATTCCAAAAGTGTTTGAACATAGCACGTAATTGTCTCTAATCATACCACATAATTGTCCCTAATAAGTTCGGTCACAGGTATCGTTGCGTTGCATTAGCCTGGAAGTCTATAAAATATTCATTCCAGTTGACTGCACTGCTTGATCTATGAGGCTGAATAACTTGTAACGTGTGAACCGTTTGTACTTTCATTGGGTTTAGAGTACGATGTGTTGTGGATGAACAAATTGTTTTCAATGAATCATTCTGATGATTTTCAAAGACTTGTAGTAACACAACTATTAATGTAATTATAAAATCCTTCCTAGCCACTTCATTATCCTCTTGTTGCTTCATTTTGAAGTGTCAAATGAACTTGATAGTTTCAAATGCCTAACACGCTATCAGTTACACTACGTTTGCAACAGTTAGAACTTCAAAGTGATCACTTTCCTCACTGCCAACTATAGCCTGATAGTGGCAGTTACTCCCCTACACTATAGCCCGCAATGTATAATTACAAGAACTTTAATTAAAACTTGATGACGGTGTGCTATCTAGTGGATATCATTTTATCCGATGTGTCCCTATAAGCTAATTGTGTTTTGGAGGGGACTCATTAAGTAATATTTTCCTTTAAAGTTGGACATGAAAAACATTGCCAAAAGCTCATAATTTTTTAAATCAATCAGTCAATCATACAAGATCAAATTTGATATTCAAGTAATAAAAGATATGACTAATATGGTTATTATTATACACAATATGTTTTTGTTCACTACAATGAAAACACACTGCTTAACACATACAAATCCAATAAAGCAGACACCATATATCAGATGTATAATTAGACATGTGAATATAGATTTTCAAAGTACATTACTTTTAGGTTGAATTTTGTGTGTGTGTGTGTGTTGTGGTGATTTATACTTGTGAAAAATCATGATGATTGAATACAAAAGAATATGAATTATAGAGAGATCTCATCAAATATATCAGATGTGATAGAAAATTCACCAACTTTTGTAAATTTCATAAAAGCCATGCAAAGGAATGAGTGTTTAGAAAAATTCTCAACTTTCTAGTTACAAGAACTTCTATTTCTTTGGATGTTTAATAATTTTTGAATACATATTCAGAAAATTACATCATCCAAAGATATCGCTTCAGTATATTTTGATCTAATGACTCAAAATGGATACGAACGAGAATGACACTGAAAGTGTAACGATGATCTAGCACCACAATACACCCATCACTTTACATATATTCGATAGCAATCTGTGTAATGTCCATAAGAAATCCTTTCGTCACAAGATGTACACTAACAAATTAACATACTAGAATTTTCCTTCGCGAAACTCATGGAGTCACATGGAACGCCTTGATGGAACATATAGATAAGTAAGATATCTTGCTTCATAAGCTTCCTGTATTTTCAAAGGAAGTAAAATAAATCTATTATAACTATCAAACTATGTGATTTTTGTATTTATTTTAGCTCTCTATCCAAAAATAAGTAATCTATAAAATCAATGAATGAAAACTCTTGCTACAATTTAATTCGATATCCATAATCTAGTTGACTAAGAATAACCTTAAATCTAACTAATAGCTAACCTATACTAGGAATAACCTTAAAACTTAAAAATTATGGTAAAGAAAATATTTGCAAGGTAATTTAATCAAAGAAGTCATTGAAAGTATTTGCAAAACAATACCGAGCAGTGGGCAATCACACAAACCTTGCGAAGAACAAACTCATCAGTATCTACTTATGCAGATACGAATGGTAAACACATGAAAGTGGGTAAAGTAAAGTATAAGCCCAATGTCCTTGCTGACACGCTCTCTCGGGTGGAGGCCAATGGAGAGCGGCCAACGCAAAGAAATAAAAATAGGGGCGAGGTGAGTCGAACATGATTCAGAAGGTGCGCATAAAGCGAGAAAATGGACACAAAGTCTTAGAAACCAGAAGGTCGCAAAAGTTTCCTGACAAGGAACACCGGGCACTGCAACATTCCACGTGACTCTCGTTCTTGGCATCCAATCATAACAAACTTTGGGAAGAATTAAGATTCTTGATCGATCACCAACTCCGGGTCGCTTCTCGTGATTCAAAGAATCTCCTGAATCCATCACCAGTGTTCGTATGAGAATCTGCAACGCTTTCGTCCTCGACGTCAGTCGGTCGGTCAGGCAGGGGAGGGGAGGGGGGCGAGCAGAATCGGACGATTGGCACGATCTGACAGTCGTCGGATCGGCGCAAAGGAAGAAGTCGGGCCGCCGTCTTGTGGAGGAGTGTGTTTCCCACATCTCTCGACGACTACGACGATGGGGGAAGGGGGTGATGGGCAAATCCGGGAATTTATTACCTCGTCGGTCCGGTGCATGTGCCAAGGGAGGGACGGCGATGGGAAAGATGGGGAAAGGTTCTTGCATATCGTACATCGCGTTCGATCCGTTGACCGCGGGAGTTTGTCAAACTCTAGACAGGAAATGAGTATTGTAATGCGTAGATGCGCGAGGCGATTCAGTCATTCTTCACGAGGAAGCGAGTGCGTCGAGGGCCTCTGTAGGCTTGCGGCGTAACAGTTGTCTTTCCGAGAAGCTGCGACCCATTCAAAACCCATTATACGCTTTTCCGCACTGCCTGATTTTCCTGCTTATTTTTCTCGCTAACAGAAACCCGCGCGTGCAGACAGACAACCATGACATGACATGCAGTTGTGGATTTGAACGGTACGTCGGGCGTCAATGATGTTGCTCGCCTCGCACTCATCAGTCTCGTCGCACTGTCCCCGTCCCATTTCGTCTTTTCTGTCTCGTCCCCTGGACCCGATCCGACCCGACCCGCCGACGATAACGTACCTATCAGTACACAGTCAGTCTACTCCTCGGCCTCGCTCGCTCGCTCGCTCCTCTGCTGCTGCTGCTGCGCTGTAGGTAGACCTCTGAGGCTCTGGGCCTCTGACTGACCGACCGATTTCCGATGACCGAGAGCGCGAGAGCGAGAGGGAGTGAGTTGTCACCTTGTGAGGTTGACGACGACAGCACAGCAGCGAATGTCTCAAGGCATGGCTCGGTTCGGCTTCACATCTGGGGCCGTCCGAAATCTGCCCATCGACAACGACACTGTGAGAGGGTGCCGTGCAAGGAAAGGGAAGCCCCGTTTGTACCAGGTTGGAATGTTGAGTACGGTACAGAGAGCAGCGGTACAGTAGGTTCAACAAGGATTCTGTTCCACTGTGATACTGGAGTGTGTGTATTCAATTTATTCTCTCGCCATCTGCTCTCATCTCATCTCATCTCATCTCCTCTACGCTCGAGTCTCGTCCGCTGTCCTGTAGGTAGGATCGAGGGTGTGCAAATTCTCGTCCGATCTACTGTATGGGTGGCCTCTGTTCTATGATGACTTGCTTTATTGAAAACGGTGCACATGGAAGCGAACGGAAGAGTGTCATTCCTAGATACTTCACTCGTCCCCTCATCTGAAGGAAGGGTAGATGTTTTTCTATGACTCCGGATCCTCAAAGAGGGCGGAGAGCACACAAGTACGAGGCTTTCACTCGAGAGGCTGCCGATTTTTTATGCGGGACAATTTTCCTCCTCGATCCTGGTAACTCTTTTGCCGAGAATCATTTTCAATTGTTCCTGAGGTGTATTTAGATAGATTCGCAATCTACCTGCTGGTACTACCCTAGCATGATCTGCAGAATCTGTTTGCAAACAAACGCTTAAACTAGCAATAATTTTCGAAGAACTCGCTGCTCATTATGCTGTTGTAATCTTGGCTGTTGTAGCGGTTGCCCTGATCTTTCCAATAGATCGGGATGGGAATTTGCGTTCCGAGAAGTTTTCACTAGTTTTTAAAGTTTGCATTTGAAAAGTCAACTTTTGGAAAGCATGATCAAAGGCTGGAGTACCTTTCAATGACGACACACATAAACTACCGTAAAAAGTCCTTTTCATCGGCGAGTCAGTCAGGTTGGAACGAGCCTGCCCCAGGCAGACATTAAAAGGCAGGGGGCTGCAGGGCAGATAGAAGTGAGTCAGCGAGTCCGTCAGTCGGAACTCTAGAAATCAAGTGCCCCGGAACATGGTGGAAGGCCAAAATTTACAGAACGACAAGGAATCTTATTGTCTACCCACGTGCGAGACAAGTGTGCAAAGCACCCTCTACTCTACTCTAGTATTAGACTCCTGAACTATGGTACATCTGATGAGATAGATGCTGTATATAGCTGTACCATCGATTGGCTAATCAGTTCGTTTCAAAGTTAAGGATCTAAGTTCATATCTTGCAGCTCAGAGACACACACACATACACTCCCTCCCTCCCACCCTCCCTCACAGTCCCACCAATGTGTAACCAGGGGAGGAGAGAATGATGTTCGCCAGGCATTTTAACAGCGAAAAACATCATACTGTCATCGGACACTGCTGGGACCTGGGGCCTGCTTTTTCTCTTGTCTTGCCTTGCTTTCCATTGGACGATGATGTATTGATTAAACTGACCAGCCCCGATATTCATTCGATCGGGTGAAGGCCCCGCCACTTGTCCAGAATATGACGGTCAGATCACAGTGATCTCACCTCATTCTGACCTCGAAGAAATTGAATACTATTACATTTAACTTCTGGCCGTGTCCTTTAAATAGCACTCATACCTGTGTGTTTTGATCAAAATCACAGAACATCTTATTCCAGCGCACACAGGCATATACGAAACTTGTGTAGGAGCTAGCCACACTGCGTTTCAAGATATTATCTCGTTGCGAGAAGCAGAGGATATGATCTGTCAGCAGTATGAACTGTAGCACGTTACAAAAAGTCGGGTTCATTTCACAGGTTATCATGTGCTAACTGTTTCTAGCACGGCGGCGTAGATGCCTTGCGTCACGAATACGTGGGTTAGTTTCGGGCTGATCTAGTCTAGTCCGGTGACTGCGGTCGTATAATATGTGGGAGTTGGCACAGAGTCAGCATACATGGGAAAGGTAACATATGACTTTTCCAGGAGAGCCACTGTCTGTCATCTGGTTTATTCATGAGCGATCCGAGTAAAAACAAAATACTAGATTGCCAAGCTGTGATTCAGCCTCAAGGTTGCCGAGGCGAATCGAAATTGCCCAAGACAACCAAGTCAATACTCACTGCCTTTTCCCGCAAACTCTTCTTTCGTGCACTGTAAAGGCCATTCTTAAGTTCCAGAACCTTATGGTGCATTCAATTCTTGTCATATCGCCGCTCGGATTTCTTAAAAACTCACATGAGCGCTTTTCGACGCAAGACCTGTGGCCTGATTCCGTCAAGGCCAAAGCACATACTATTCTGGAAGTCATCGAGATTCTTGCCTGGCCTTGCAAAGTCTCCTTCCGGAGCGGTTCAACAAGTATGCGAGCACATCTGCAGCTTGGACTTTTTTCCAGTCGTTTGTGAGATCGAGACCTTGATCTAAGCAACGACCGGATTTCTTCCGAAGGCCACCACCATGCGGTGAGGTCGAAAGGAGGAGGACTTTGGAATCATGCACGACTGAAGGAAAACCACCGGCTGCGAAAGTATTGCACCCACCTCGACGACAGTTATGAAGTTTTACCTTTACCAGCCATATAAGGTCACATTCGCATTGACCGCACAGATATACAGATGAACTTACTTTTCTGCTCTGCTCTTTCGGCTGACATCGAATCAACACGAGTTTAACAGCAACTTTTAGCCGGTGCTCCTGGAAATAATATCACTGATTATTTCAGTGGAAGTACTGTGGCATCACAGGTCGGGAAGTAGCAGCTGGCTAACCGAAGAAAAGTTTGCGATTCAACCCTCCAACGGTAAATTGTCTGCAAGCTCCTGCACTGCGGTCGCTAACATGCAGTGCAGTCTGGATTTCTGGAGCCCACTTCAGGCTGTGCCGGCTATTCCGTTACGCGCTGACGAGGATATAGAACCTTGAGTTCGAGAGAACCGCGAAGATAAGAGTAGCAGTGACCAGTCGGTAGCACGAGTGAGCTAAACAGAATTGCAACATCGCTCTCGTTCTCCCATCTTCTGATGAACCTGCTGCTGTCATCTGTTTCGTCTAAAATAAGACTTCCTAAGTTCGATACACCTTATTTCTACTTAACTCTGCCTTGTGATTTGTTATATCCTGCGTGTCTAGAGCGGTCAAATTCTCAAATTGTTCTTTTGAACCAATCTTCGATCACATCATTCAGATAACACTATACGGTTTAAAGAATTTTGTATGCATGGTTTCCCTACTAAGAATTTAATTCAATGCTAGTGTTTTTTTATGTTTAGAATTTACATTATTGATAAAGTGCCGACCAACTTGACAATCTAACAGCACACTTAGACTAAGTTTATCACATTTTGTGTACAACACTATCATATGAGATCGCAACCGGGAAACAAGTATGGGGTTCGTCCAATGTTTTGTAGTGGCCCTCCACATGCAGAGCTTCACAAGGTTACGGTCAAGCAATTTTACAGGATAGTAAGGCATGCAGCAAGTCTCAATTTATTTTGTGCAGAAATACATCTCATGCTGAAGATAGGTACCCTGTAATACATTTTTTTCTTCGATTCAGGTTTGGCTGTGTTTATGGATATAAAGACATGAACTTCAAATGAGATCTTTTAATGTTCTCATGAGTGAGAAGAAAATTATCTCCAAAATAAACTATACTCAAATTAAATGACTGAATAGAAAAATAAAATGGAGAAAAAAAAATTAAAAAATTGAGTTGATTCTTGGATTGAATAATCCTATCAAGAAGAAAATTTCCTCATCTTTCAAGCAGTTATGTTTGGTATGTTGGATAAAATCATATAAATCATAAGCATAAGTACTATCTTTCCCAATAAGCTCTGGATATAAAACTACCGAAAAATGATAGTACTGTAAGATGATTCGAATTCTCAAAGTGAAGTCTGAAGTACTGTATTCCCCAAATTTTGCATGTTTAAGTTCTAATGAGAATCTTATCATTTGAAAGGTTGTAAGACAATCTTGTTCCTGTAAATAACACGACGTCAAATCATTTATGCATTGAAAATTTGCATGTCTTTTGAGACTCAACCTAGATGAAAGTTGAAACTAGCATGGGGTTTATATATATCTAGATCTGAGGTTTCTCAATCTAGAATTGGCACGAGATCCAAAATAAATAAAATAAATGTAAAACCTGGAAAATTACTTTTTCTCAAATCTCGGAGTGAGAGAATTGTGCATGGGGAGTTTCATTCCCCAGGACTATAATTATGCACTATGTTTTTATATGGGATTGAAGAAAACGTCCATCTTTATCAATATAAAACTTGCCATTTATGAGTCAATTCTGTAAACACTAATAGTCGTCCAAGAATTTCCTTTTCTCATAATTCATGTAACAAGGAGAACATATTATAAATGACGCTAGATACCCAATCGGCATCTATCCAGGCGCTCGAGAGTGTCCTGGCGGTGGACACTGTGCACCGAGAGGCTACGTAGCACAGGCTGGGAGAACAATAATCTGGGCAAGGGGACAAGGACAAGGGCACATGTGGACAACGTCGTATGGAAATTTGAGGTAAGGATTTGTCTCTTATAGAACAACGAATTATCGTTACATGCAGCGTAGCGGGCCACTGCAACGGGCCACTGTAGCGACGATGGCCATGGCGGACGTCAGAAAGCGGACGAGCACTGTTCGAAAAAAGCGAGTTTGAACTCGTAAACGGCTCTCGCGGCGCGCCCGCGGCGATGCCAGGCGTCGATGGGGCGAGCGAGCGCTAACGTGGACGGGCTTGTTGGTGTCACAGTCGACCAGATCCGATTGTCCCTAGAATGCTTCACTTTCTCGAACCCTGAATTCGTCGGGCCCGAGCGCCTGAATTCTCGAACCCTCGGCCTATAAGATCGATGCTGCTGCGGCAAGCGTGTTGCTTTTCGGATCGAATCGGTTGAGGGGCCGCGTCGAGATTAGGAGGCTGATGGATTATTATATTTGCGCTTTTGGTGCCATCTTTGCGACCTGCCGACGAATCGTGGCATCTCGGCTCGAATCTTGCCATTTGCATGCGACTCACTCGCCCGAGCTGGGCGTGCATGAATGTGTTCGCGCCGAGCGAGTGCATCCTTGGGGCGGGGTTCGCTCTTTGGCATACGTTCTTATTCGATCAGTGGTTGCGTCAGCCCTCGGAGGGCGATCTCGGGAGGCGTCTCGTGCTGCACTCTCTCGCTCGCTCGCTCCTTCGGAGAAATGAGAGACTCCGACTCTAGCATCCATCGGAAGTGAAGCGATGATGAGCGGTCGGATGCTAAACACGCTCGTCTGATCGCTCTTTTTCTCAAACGCTCGTAAAGTTAACCACTTCGGCAAGTGGACAGGCGAGGGTTTGTCCATCCCTCTGCTGTCATTTGTGAATGAGTGGGAAAGTCCAGGAACATATTGTCGCCATGTGCGACACTCTTTCTCATACAGTGTCATACTCCGATATGAGGCGGCTTCACTCTTTCCACAGCGAGCACATTGCGAACGTTTCGGTTTCTCACGACTGCTGACTGAATAACGTGACATGGCTCTAAGTGTACCTGTGATCTCCCTGAAAACTCGAGTACATGTCTGCCGATAGAAGTATCTCACGCAATGGACAAGACTGCTGATACGAACGACGTTCTCAAGCCTGATGGCTGTTGTCTAGCTATAACGCTACTCTACACTTGGTCAACTCATCCTGCCTACCGACCGAAAGTTATTCTTGTCAAACATTATCAAGTGGAGGAGCTCTTGGAGTGTTGTCAGACATCTTGCTTACACTCAGCCTGGTCTTCTCTCATGTCAACACGTGTATTCCTGTATTGTACGTAATGTCATCTGAATACGTCTGGGAGATTAGTAGATTCAGGGTGTTGTCACATGTCACAGATAAATGCGCTCATTTACCGGTTCGAGTGTCAAATCTCTATTGGCGTTCGATGATTAAAGGTTTGTTTCGTTTCCTTTTAACTCTTTGATCCCTCATCCCTCGGCCGCTAGACTCGATGACACGATGTTCTTCGCGGCCAAACAAAATATTTGTTGTCTGAAGGATTTCTTGTTTGACTATTGTCAACTCTTGATTCCAATGTTCGCATAAGACAGCCGTTGAGCTCGTTCAGTTCCTTCCGATCGCTCGTAGCAGGAGCGACTGCTCTCGATCGATGCACATCTTTAGTTGGCTCGATTGCCATGATCGCGAAGTGTTGATTCTGTTGATTCATCTTCATTGATACACGAGAACCCGTGTCGCCTTGTTGGTATACCTCCAACCGAAGACGTGTTGTAAGTACAAAGACCCTGAAACTTGCTCTCCTTATTGTGAAACCGCTTCAAATTACTTCAGGTCGGAGAGACTGCGACATTTGTCTATGACAAGTCTGTGATATACGCTGACTCAAAATTCGCTGCATTCGTTGACCTGTGGTCCCATAGGATGGATGGGCACTGTCAGCTGAAAGTAAAGTTTCGCCTGCAGAAGTCACCGTCCCCCGGAATCTTGAAGAATAGGCAGTAACAGTTATATGTCTGGGAAGTGAACTACAGGCTTTTAGATGCCATTCCACAGATAACCCGTCATCACCATCTGTCACGAAAAAAATCTGCTAATACTGTACCTAATCTTGTACAACCGGAGTAATAATTGGATCAGACAAATACGAGCAATGCGATGGCGAACACCCGGAAGCAAGAGCACACCATCGACGATGATGAAATGGATGATGAGCTTAGACCTGCATAGGGTACCTACACCCGCAACTCGAACAGTACCCGCCCGAACCTATTGGTATGGGTCGGGTTTGGTCCAGGCGAGCAATGGTTTGGGTCGGGTCCGGTTTGGACTTTGAATCTGATGGTTTCGGATAGTACTAGGGTTTAAAGATGGACCATTCGGGTTACTTGATAAAACCGGGTAGTGTATGAGTTCTTGACTCCTGTGGTGAAGTGAGCCCGGAGGCAAGAACTCTTGGCTCACTGCACACTTGTGAATGCATCGCTGTTTACTGTCGGAGTTGAAGATGCAGGGGCGCACCACATGATCTTTCATCAATTTTTTCAGATTTTTTTTGCCGAGCTCAATATCGGCGAAGTCGATGCCAAACTTGTCGAGACGACTTTTTAATTTGGGGTTGAGTACGACGGCAATGACATGGATGTCCCTCCGAACAAACTTCTCTTCGATAAGTTTGATAAATTTTTGCGAATGTAGGGGTGTCTGCCTTCAATGTGGTGATCGTGCCATCTTTTTTCTTGGTGGTGATATTTGCCATGACAACCTGGCAATGCTTTAGCAGATTCTGCTGGAAGTAGAGAACACGGTGTAACGTAGGCTTTGCAAACAACTTCAAAGCTAGGATGGCCTCTTGAAAGGGCACAAGAAAGCGATAAACTTCTTGAGAGGCTCGTGATCGATCTTGATGGCCTTGGAGACCAGTCCGCGTCCTTGTGCATGTAGGATCTCGATCAACTCAGGGAGTCGTTCGTCAACGACAAAATTTGTTTGACGCGATTCCAACTCTCGATGCGATGCAATTTTTTGCCATCGATCAAACTAGTCCTCTCTTTGATAACCGTAGTGAGGATGGTACCAATGATGTGATCATAGCACAAGATCCAATCGAGGAGGCTAGAAATGTCATCTACAGAGTGCATATTGGAGTTGTGGTCGATGACAACAGTGACCCCACCATAACTATTGATGCCAAATTTCCATAAAACACCCTCGTACTTTTCTAGGACGTCGGATCCATTGTGTGGCCCACGGAACGGGCTGCATGAAAGCCTACAGTGGTGCAGAGTGAACTTGTCATCGATGAGATGCGTAGTGATCGATAGAAAAAAGTTCTTGTTGATGTCATCAGTTCAAATATTGGTTGTGCTACCAATCCAAAACTACTTGATATTCAAGACGGTCTACGTATAGGTTCTAAAGCCGCTGCCATTCACAATGTGAAATGAACCCATGTCAACGATGCACATGTCTGCCAACGCGATGATGATGATTTTTTCTTAGTTGTAGTCGCATCGCGGTGCGTCCTCGTAGCTGTTATCATCTAGTTGATCTTTGCAAAAGAACATAAGTGTTTAGACATGGCGGTTATTCCGTTGGCTAGGTTGTATTGATAAATAGTGAGGCATTTGTTGCAGCAGAAAAGAGTTGTCACTACAACGAAGATGCGTGCAAGTCTCCTTGACGGCCACGAATGAGAATGATGACCAGATCCATGCCCTAGCTTTGCAGTTTTTCACTAAAAAATAGAGACCAGCCTCTTTCTACAGATCAATGTTGATTTTGGTCTTAAGCATGAGCATATACTTGGACGTCATTTTAATTTCTTCTCATCATCATCATCACTCCAGCTCACGTCATCAGCCATGACGTGAGCGGGAGTGGCAAATGGCGAGGCTTTTAGATATGGATACCTGATGAAGGTCTGAGCTCTGTAATGTGCAGTGAGCCAAGAGTGAGGAACTCCTACACGACCAATTTTACTAAATAAGCCAAATGATCTATCTTTAAATTTGAACTTCAACAAAAACCATCAGATTCAAAGTGCAACCCGGATCAAATCCGACCCATACCCATCAATTCGGGCGGATAAGGTTAGTGTTTCGGATATGTGTATCCAATGAAGATATCCGCTAAGTTATTGAGTTCTCTGCCGGTTTCATAACAATCCCTGTCATAAACGTTGCTTCATCGTGACAAGGCAACCATCAGATAAAATGAAGTTGTTATTGCTTTGATTAACGATAACATGCAGCTGCAGCTGTTGTTGTATGTGCATCCCTCTTCTAATCAATCTACTTCATTGTATATTGCCTTGACAGTCTTTTGTGGTAGTAAGTCTACTAGGAAGAAATGCAATAGAAATACCAAAACAAAGTTTATATCTAGATCTAAGTCTAAAGATGATAAGAACATCAAAAGTTGGAAATGTGGCAATTCTGGTCATTTTTGTAAAAATTATTATAGCAAACGCTGAATCTTCAACAAGGGCGGCTTTAACTAAGTATTACGGTTATGCACTTTGTACTTCCGTCCATGTTAGGTATAATGAATAGATTTTGGATTCAGCTTGCTCTTACTCCATTTGTCATCTTACACTCCTTCAACTCGTATAATTTTTATGAAAAATGATCAACCCTGCAAACTTGTTTGCATTGAATTTGTGAAGATTCAAATGTTTGATGGGGTGTTCTGAACTTTGATCAACGCACGGTACATCCCTAGTATTTGTAAGAATTTGATCTCACTTGAAGAATTGAACTTGAAAGGGTTCAAATGGACTACAAACACTGGAGTTTTGAATGTGGTGGATGGTTTTCATAGTTTCATGAAAAGCTCAAGGCTGAAAAATCTGTACATTTTGGAGGGGACAAAAATATTTTGAGAGTCACATGTTTCTACATCTCCAAATTTGAATTTTCATTTGTGGCACAACCGACTGGATCACATGAGTGAAAAAGTTTTGGCCATTTTACACAAACATAGGATATAACTTGAAATGAAACAATGCAAGCTAGACTTTTCTGGGCATTATGTATTTGACAAACAAACAAGAGCTCCATTCGGCGTTGAAGTTTATAGCTCACAAAAAATTCTTGATTACATTCATTGCGATGTGTGGAATACTTCTACTTGTTCCTCACATTATGAACAGGTGTATTACGTAACCTTTATGGATGGTTATTTGAAATTTGTGTAAATTTACTTCATGAGACAAAAATTTGAACTGTTGAGACTTTCAAGGATTGAAAAGTTCCAATTGAGATCTAGACTGGAAAGAAGGTGAGATTTTTTGCATAGATAATGGCAAAAAATACAACTTTTAAGTAATTTTGGTTGTATTGCAAAAAGAAAATTAATACTAGCAATTTCATCACATCGTATACTCCAGAGCAAAATAGTGTGTTGGAGAGATTCAATCGCACATTATTGGAGCCCTCTCAAAGTATGTTGAATCTTGCTGGTTTACCGCATACGTTTTGGACTCAAGCTGTGAATACCGCATCTTACTTGTATCCTAATAGCTCTATCAAGTTCAATACAACGTTTGAATTGTGGTACAAACAGTTTGGTGATTACTCTATGTTGAGAGTTTTTGATTGTGATGCTTATGCTCATACTCCAAAGGATAATAGGATTGAGCTTGATATTGAAGCCAAGAAATGTATATTTCTTGGTTATCATAGAGTAATAAGGGATTTAGATTCCGGGATGTTAATGCTTGCAAACTCATTGTGAGTAGAAATGTTTTATACAATAAATTCATATCATTAATTGAGGAGGAGAAAATGAAGACGTCATTATTGACAAGAACAAACTCTTGCACATGACATTGTTGAGGAGAAGATTGATATTGACACCACTGATGAAGGAATTCAAGGAGAAATTTCACATACTATGGAACAAAAGGAGCTAATTGTTGACAAGCCACAATTAGAACCAACACAAATTGATCAAGACGGCAATTGCGGAGTGTAGCTAAACGTTAAGCTCTGGCTAGATATGACATTTGGTTTGACTCTTCAGTCATTGATGATATTGAAGCTGATGCCGAGGATTCAAGTGATGTGTTGATCACTAAAGATGTAGATCCATCTTTTTTTTCCAAAGCTATAATCTCTAGTGAGAAGCAACATGGAATGAAGCGATGCAAAAGGAGATGAAGTCACTTCATGCTAATAACACTTGGAAACTTGTTGAGTGCCCCAAGGTAAGAGAGTGGTAGATTGTAAGTGGATCTTCAGGAAGAAAGATGATACCACAAATGCAAATGAAAAAGTTTTCAAGGTTAGGTTGGCAGCCAAAGAATTCACACAACGGAAAGGTGGGATTACAATGAAATTATTGCACCAATAGCAAAAATTCTACGATATGTTTGCTTTGTGTTCTTGTATCTA